AGAGAAAGGGAGAGACAGAAACATTGATGAGAGAGAAACACTGACCAGGTGGCCCCTGCATGCCCCTCACTGGCAATTGAGCCCACAACCTGGGCATGTGCTCTGACTTGGAATCGAACTGGCAACCTCTTGGTTCATGGGTTGCCCCACAGAGGGAAGAGACCAGTGGCAGTGGCCAGAAGACATCGCCAGGCCACCAGGTGCCAGAGGGGTTTCCCTCCCCCCACCCCCATCGCTCCGCTCGCTGGTCGCCCCACAGATTGGCCCTGATCGCTGGCCAGGAAGGGACCCTAACCTATATATTGGGAAGTCTCTGATTTAAAAATTAAAACCTGGAAGGACTTGTATGCATGCATATAAGCATAACCAATGAATACAAATAGTAGGGACGTGAGGGCATGTGCTGGGGGTGGGAGCAGCTGGGGAGGTCAATGGCGGAAAAAAGAAACTTATGTAATACTTAAGCAATAACGACTTTAAATTTAAAAAAAACAGAGTTGATGATGAATATTTGTAGTTGAGATACACACACACATTTTTCTGTATATTTTTCCTGATAGTACATACTATGTTTACAATGCATTCCTAATGTAGAAAAAAGTAAAGTTCCTCTGTTATTAAGTCCAATTTCATAAGCACCATTAAGGATTTGTTCCTCTATCAATGATTTTATTCTTGGGGGTTCACGAATTGTTTTTCTACCAATCATGTGATCAAGTAATATATTCATATATTTTCATTATATTTTCACCATCCAGAACCATAAATATAACCATCCTGAATTGTGAGAGGGATGTCTGACTGCTGGTTTAGGCTCGACATCCTCTGAGGGGTCCCGGATTACGAGAGGACGCAGGCCTAGGTAAGGGACTCCCCCCCCCCCCCAATGTGTGAACTTCATGCACTGGGCCTCTAGTTAAGTTAATAAAATTATGAACTGGATTGTGATAAATTAAGATGTATATGGTAAGCCCTATAGCAACAATTAGGAATGTAATTCAAACAAATATAGTGAAAAATAATAAAAATAATTAAAATGTTACATAGAAAATATTCATTTAATGCAAAAGAAAGCATCAATGTACATATAGAGGGTGTAAAAGACACAAAACAGAAAACCAGAAGTAAAGTGACAGATGTAAATCCAACTATATCAATAACATTAAATATGAATGGTTTAATCAATCCAATCAAAAGTCAGAGGTTGTCATATTGTATTAAAAAACAAGATTCAGCTAAATGCTGTCTAGTAGACATACACTTTAGAGCAAAAGATATAAATTACTTGAAATTAAAAGAATGGAAAAAGACATATCATGAAAATAGCAACCATAAGAAAGGTTGAAGTGGCCTTACTATGATAACATATTTACTAGAGAAAAAAATTTACTCATAAAATAGTTACATTATATAACAATGAAAGAGTCAATCCATCAGGAAGGAATAACAATTATAAACCATGTATATAGCTAACAACAAGGCCCTAAAATACATGAAGCAAAATTTGACAAAATCAAAGGAATAGGCAATTCAACAATAATAGCTGGTGACTTCAACACCCCATTTTCAATAATGATTAAAACAACTAGGGCCCTACCTGGTTTGGCTCAGTGGATAGAATGTTAGCCTGTGGACTGACGGGTTCTGGGCTCAATTCTGATCAAGGGCACATATCTGGGTTGCGGGCTTGATCTCCAGTAAGGGGTGAGCAGGAGGCAACTGATCAATGATTCTCGTCATTTATGTTTCTATCTCTCTCTCCCTCTACCTTCTTCTCTGAAATCAATAAAAATATATTTAAATAAAAACAACTAGGCAAAACAAAGATATATAACACTTAAAAAAACTAACAACCAAACAGACATAAGAGACTCTCCAACTGATGAGCAGAATATACATTCTTCTCAAGTATACACAGAACGTCGGTTAGACATTTGTAGACCATCTGCCAGGCCATAAAACAATCCTCAATACATTTAAAAGGCCATAAACCATAAAGTATATTCTGTGACTACAGTGAAATAAAACTAAAAATCAATAACAAATAAATTTGGGAAATTTACAAATATATGTAAATTAAACAATATACTTCTAAATAACTCATGGATCTATGAAGAAATGGCAATGGAAATTATAAAATATTTAGAGATGCATAAAAATGAAGACATGACATACCAAATTTATGGGATGCAGTATCACACTGCTTGAGAAAAATTTACACCTGTGTCTCCATTAAAAAAGAAGATCTCAAATCAAGAACCTTCTACCTTAAGACAATGAAAAAAAATGAGTAATCTAAACAAAAAAAGCAGAAGAAAATAAATATTAGAAAGGAGATCAATGAAATAATGAGTAAAAAAAATAGAGAAAAATCAACACAACTAGAATTTAGTTACTTCAAAAGTTCTATAAAATTGAGAAACCACTAGACTGACAAAGCAAAACAAAGAGAATAATCAAATTAGTAGAACCAGGAAAGAAATAGAGGGCATCACTACAAACCTCATAGAATTTTTTTTAAATAGAACTTGTAGAAATTAAAAATATGATATCCAAACTAAAAAGAATCATAGAAAGAATTAACAACATAATACACACTCCAGAAAAAGATCAGTAAACTTAAAGACTAAACAATAGAAACCACCTCAAATGAAGCACAGAGAGAAAAGTCACTAAAAATAAAAAATAAAATAAAAACAGATCATGGGACTCCCAGAAATAGATAAAGGCAAAAAAATTAGCCAACAATTTACTAATTTATTAAAAATGATAAACCTGAAAATTCAAGGTCACCAAATCTCAAACAAGGCAATAAAGAGAACCACCTAAGGCATCCATAACCTAATTCTTTAAGCTACTGATAAAAAGAAAATGCTAAAAGCAACCAAATTAAAGGCATATTATACAAGCATACCTTGCTTTATTGCACTTTACTTTATTGCACTTCACAGATACTGTATTTTCTACAAGACCTACCAGTAAAAAGATTAAGATCCACTGAAGTCTCAGAGGATGGTAAACATTTTTTGGCAATGAATTACTTTTTAAATTAAGGCAGTGATGGCGAACCTATGACACGTGTGTCAGAGGTGACACGCAAACTCATTTTTTTGGTTGATTTTTCTTTGTTAAATGGCATTTAAATATATAAAATAAATATCAAAAATATGTCTTTGTTTTACTATGGTTGCAAACATCAAAAAATTTCTATATGTGATATGGCACCAGAGTTAACTTAGGGTTTTTCAAAATGCTGACATGCTGAGCTCAAAAGTTTCGCCATCACTGAATTGAGGCATGTACATTGTTTTGCTTTTTAATCATGATGACATTGTACACTAAGTAGACTACAGTATAATATAAACGTAACTTTTACATGCACTGGGAAACCAAAAAAATTCACATGACTAGCTTTGTTGCAATATTTGCTTATTGAATGGTCTGGAACCAAACCTACAATATCTCTGAGGTATGCCTGTATAGAGGAACAAAGGCAAGAATGACCATAGGCATCTCATCAGAAACTGTGCTATTTAGAAGACAGTGGGTAACATCTCTAAAATTATGAAAGAAAAGTCTATCAACCTGGAATTCTTTATCCAGTAAAACTGTCTTTTAAAATTGAGCACTAAATAAAGAAGTTCTCAGGCCAACAAAGGCTGAGAAAATTCATAACCAGTAAACTTACATTCTAATAAATTTTACATGAAGCTCTTCAGATGATACTAGAAGAAAACTTTGGTTTATGTAAAGAAATGAAGAGTGCCATAAATGGTATATAGAAAATTCCTTTTATAATTTAAAATATTTCCTTAAAAGGTAAATGATGGTTTAAAACAAAAATGATAATGCATTGTGGGGTTTACATGATGTGTAGAAGTAAAAGTATGTATGACAACAGTGCAAAAAATAGGAGGGACAAAATAAAACTATATCTTTGTATAGTTCTTACATTATATGTGAAGTAGTATAATAGTATTTTAAGAAAGACTGTAATAAGTGCAACAACTCAAAGACATATAATTAATAAGCCAATAGTGGAGATAAAATCAAGTTATTAAAAATTAAATTACTCCAAAATAAAGCAAGAACAGAGAGAAAAAAACTAGAGAGCAGATGGAAAAAAATAGAATTTAAATAGCAAAATGGTAGATTCAAACCAAATGTAACCACATTTACATTAAATGAAAATTACCTAAACATTCTAATTAAAACCCATATATTGTCAGATTAAATTAAAAAAAAACACAAGAAAACTCTTTGCTGTCTATAAAAAGCACCTATTTGAAATGCAAATATATAGTTTACAAGTGAAAGACCAATTTCCAGTTTTGTCCAAGATAGAGTAAGCCTTCAACAGCCTGTCTCTATGCTGCTACAACTACTAGGTGTATCGGTTAATAATGGGGATTTTTTTCAATAGATGGAGTTACACATATGTTGATAAATATGCAATTTAATATGTATGCTATTTTGTTGTATTGACAGCAAGCTTCAAAACATATGTCAAATTTTCTGAAGGCTTTAACATCATAGATATTTTTATGCTTAAAAATGTCAAATTTCATGCCAAAAAAAAAGCATTTGTGGAAAGTTTTAATTCATTACTTTATTTTGAAAATAAAGTAATGAAGCTTATGGTGAACATGCTCCATCTCAAGATACTTGTGAACACTGGTTTAAACTCATTAAAAGTGATGATTTCGATGTGAAAGACAAAGAACATTCAGGTCAACCAAAAAACTTTGAAGACCAACAATTACACGCACAAATTTTTGTGCACCTGGCCTCTAGTGTAAACTATAATTCAAATAAAGTTGAAGTAGCTATATTAAAATAAGACAAAGTAGACTTCAGAATAAAAAATATTTCTAGGGATAAGTAGGGATATAACATAGTGATAAGAGAATCAATTCAGCGAGAAATCATAACAATCATGTATATGTATATAACTAATAACAGAGTTTCAGAGTACATGAAGCAAAAAGTGATAGAACTGAAAACAATAAATAGGGCAATAAAAAATTACAGTTGGATATTTTAATACTCTTTTTTTCAGCAATCAAGTAGACAGACAATCAGTAAGGATATAGAACTGCACAACTCTATTAATCAACTTTACTTAATTGACATTTATAAAAACACTCCATCCAGCAAGAGTAAAACACATATGTAGTCTTTACAAGTGAACAAGGAATATTCACCAAGTTAGGTAATATTCTGGTTCATAAAAACAAACCTCAAAAAGTCTTTATTAAAATTTTGGTTTTAAAAAAAGCACATAGGAGGATGGGGGGGGGGTGGATAAGGAGACATTTGTAATACCTTAATCAATAAAGGGGAAAAAAAGCCAAAAAAAGCACATAGCATAAAATTTACTGTCTTAACCATGTTTATGTCTACAGTTCAGTAGTGTTAAGTATATTCAGAAGTTTTTCATCTTATAAATCTGAAACTATACACATTAAACAACTCCCCTTTTTCTTCTCCTCCCCATCCCTGGTAATCACTATTCCATTCTCTTTCTATAAATTTACCTA